CCATACAGTCCAGATTTGGCACCAGGTATCTTCACCCTTTCTTGAAATCAAAGGAATATTTACTGCAGAATTCCCCAACCTTTTTGGGGAGGAGAGGGGAGGGGATGGTTCACATGAGCAGTGGGCAGGGCAAGTGTGCATGCTGCTCCATTTGTGCAAGTGGCGTGCATGTGCACCCACTGCTCACGCAAATGGAGCATGCATGCACATGCTTGTCCACCGATTCCGCTTGACCGCCGTTTCCACAGCCCAGTTGCAAACAACTAATGGCATACTAGTGCATTTCCACCCAGAGGTTGGGGGCAACTGCTTTAGTGGGCACTTGTTTGATCAAACAAAGTATTTGAATATTTGAAGTAGAAAGGACAGGAACTCTTTCATGATAGCATTAAGAAACGTGTTCATCATAAGCAGAAAAATGGCGAGAAAGATTGTGATTACTGTGTATTTTACTAGACAGTAATCACAATCTTTCTTAGGGGTAACATATAGGGGTAACATATCCTTTCAAAGACATTGTGATGACCCGGGGCGTGGCACAAAAGCAACAAAGTCACAAAAGTAGGTAAAATCCCTTTAATACCTCCAACTTGGCCCCCAATGTCCAGTTGTCATTGGCTGGAGAAAAAACTCTCCCAAGAACAGTTTTTAAAGGGAAGAAATTCACTCTGAACCCAAAGTACATATAAATTATAAATAAAAACCAACACAAACCACGCTACAGCAATTAATGAGACAGGGCAGGATAAAGAATTGCAAACTTCAAAAGATAACGAACACACAGTTGGGAGGACGCCAGAACCCAAATAAGACTTGACAAACCAAAATAATTCACGCTTTGCTTCCAGCAAGGTGCTGTGCGCAAACACCTTTTTAAATCCTGTTTTCCCAGCTGCAGCTAATGAAGGGAATCAGGGTCCTTTTCTCCCCCATAACCCACGTAACTCACGTTGCTCCCTTCTCCGTTCCTCCCTGCATACCCTAGGATGAAGGGGAGGTGGGCCTGGGTCTTCCTCTGAATGCCCAGCTGGACTGTGCCCTTCCTCAGTTTCTTCCACAGCCACCGGAGCCACACTCCCACTCCCTGTCAGCTGCTCGACCTCCCCCTCGGAATCAGATGCCAACAGGGGCATGACAGATATAGATGTTCATTCAATTCTCATACATAGAGCAGAGCAAGAAACAAGCTGTGTCTTAAGTGTTTCATATGTAACTGACTATTTCAATCAGCATTTGGAATGTATACAATATAAGGCATGACAAGTTTCAAAATATAAAGATATCTTAGTATCTAAGTAATACACATGAATCTTGACACTAATAAAAAAGAAATGTAAAAAGCGGAAGCAGGATTAGAGAGAGCATGAAAAACCCTATGTATAAAAATAGTTTGCAATAAAGTTAATAACTTCTTGCCCCCTCCAAAAGGTAATATATATGAAGGAAGAGACCGAACTGTTACAATTCTATCCCCAATGGAAAGCTCCAACAAAAATCAGGGTCCTACCAAAAACACTCAGAAGGAGGTGTGATTTTTGGATTGTTTTTCTGCCCCAATCTTTTTCTTTTCAACGCATTTACTTCCCTCACAAGTAGTAAAAGAGAGATTATTCAACCAGAATTCAATACAACATATATTTCATTTATATCTAGAGACCTATACAATTAGGAAACACTGTCCATTTCCCAATTTTCCCCTGAGATTGAATCTCTAAAATAACAATTTATTGCAAGGCAAGGGAAAGTTCATCAGTAGAAGGTGGGGTTTCATCAATTAAGTCGAATAACTCACTCTGCTCGAGACAAGTAATCCAATCTAACCTACATTCCTAGAACACTTGCCCCATGAGCAATATGGCTGTATCTCTAGTCTGAGATTTCAAAAAACAATTTCTGTTTTTGGAACAAAAACAAGGAAAAATACTATTGCAGAAATTTTTAATAGGAATCAGTTTGAATTTTTGATATACTTTGTCACAGATACTATGAAATGCTCTTTTTTGTTATAAATGATTATACAAATAAAGGATTTTTATCTTATAATGAGCTTATTACCTATATAAATACTAAATATTAAACAGACTCAAAGTCATGTTATACTATTGCTGAGGATTTTTTGTTTTGTCATATTTGTAGAAGAAAAAGAAGGTTCTAAACTAAGCTACTCATCTCTGTAATGGCGACAGATATGGCATCTCAAGGTAGCATCCAGGTTAAATTATCTATATTACTTGTTGAACTGGACTAAATTGTCTTTAAAATGTTTTGTTATTCTTCTTATTCTCCCCATTCCCCTTATTCTACCTATTTCTTCTTCTGATCTCAAATATCTTCCCTTATGGACAAATACAATATTTTTTTTACCAAAAAGGTAATGTTAATTCATTTATTCAACAAAATCAGATGAGTATATAGAGCAGGGGTATCAAACTCGATTGCATTGAGGGCTATATCAGGGTTATATTTGAACTTGGGGAGCCAAGGTAGGCGTGGCAAGGGTGGGCACGGATAGCTTGATATTACTTGTGTTGGGGATGCCTCTGTGAGCTTCCGAGCTCCGTTTTTGGTTGCGACGGCTTCCTGCAACCCTCTGCCAGCGAAAACAGCGCTCAGGAGGGCTGCACGAGCTCCATTTTTGGCTGTGACAGCCTCCTGCAATGCTCTGCCAGCAAAAACGGAACTCAGAAGGGCCTCATGCAGTCTTCCCGAGTTCCGTTTTCACTGGGAGAGGCACCGCGGGCCAATCTTTCGCTGTTTCTAGGGTGAGATCTAAGCACCCTGTGGGCCAGATCGAGCCCCCAGGCCTTGAGGGTTTTTTTTTAATAATTTTATTAATGAACAACAAACAGAAAAAAACATTAAAAACAATGAACGTGGTGCATATATAACAAATAATACAAATTTACATATGTACATAAATATTGATAATCTTTGCTCAAGTTACTCCTTTCTTTTTTTAAATCAGTGGTAAAACTTCTCCCAAATTCTGTAATAATCAGATTCAGTCTTATCTTTTAATTCTTGAGTTATTCTATCCATTTCAGTGCATGACCAAATTTTTCTAATTATTTCCATCTCTTCTGGCATATCATTTCCTTTCCATCTCTGGGAAAGTCTCGCGGCAGTAGTGAAATGGATTATTAAATATATTATCTCTTTATTATATTTCCCCACATTGATTCCCAATAAGAAAATTTCAGGTCTGAACTCTATTTTAATTTTACACATCTCTTCTAACCAGTTTCTGATTTTCAGCCAATATATTTGGGCTTTTTCACATTTCCACCATACATGGTAATACGTTCCAATTTCTTTATTGCATTTCCAGCATTTAGGAGATAATTTTGGATACATTTTTACTAGTTTTAATGGTGGGATATGTCATCGATAAAACATTTTTAGTAAATTTTCTTTATATGATGCTGCCAGGGTAATTTTCCTATTCCTATCCCATAAAATTTGCCAATCTTCCAAATTTATACCGTATCCAAAATCTTTCATCCAGGGCAGCATCGTTTCTTTCACCTTTTCTTCTTCCAATTTAGATTCCAATAGCACTTTATAATTTTTTTTAATCAATTTCTCATCTGCTCCTAATAATATTTTATCTAATTCTGTTTTCCGTTTATTAATACCCCATTCTTTCATATCTTTACTATACCTTGATTGTAATTGTAAGTAGGCCCACCATTCTATCTCAAATCCAAAATCTTTCAGCTCCTGTCTTGTTTTTAAGTTTCCCTTCTCATCTAATATGTCATATGTAATGACCTGTCCTCGTCGCAATAAATGTGGGTACATTAACACTTCCAATGTAGATAGCCAAGTTGGTATTTCAACGTAAAATTGAGATTTAGTTTTGTTCCATGCACTTAGTAAGGTCTGCCTAATTTTGTGCCTTTGGAAATAACCATGAATTTGGTGTTTATCCTGCCACAAAAAAGCATGCCACCCTGCCTGTAGGTTATATCCTTCTAATGTTAATATTCTTTTGTTTTTAACACTTATCCAATCTTTAATCCAGGTCAGAGTGGCCGCTCTATAGTATATTTCCCAGTCCAGTAAACCAAATCCTCCCCTTTCAGTGGCATCCTGTAACAATTTCAGTCTAATTCTGGGCTTTTTTCCCTGCCAAATAAATTTTGATACTAACTTATCCAATTGATTAAAAAAAAAATTCTAATTTTACCAGAGCATTTTGGAATAGAAACAGTAGTTTTGGTAATATATTCATTTTTATTGATGCAATTCTCCCCATAAGAGAAAGTCTTAGATTGCTCCATTTTCTGAGGTCTTCAGCTATTTTTTTAATTAGTGGGGTATAGTTATCCTCTTTAAGTGTTGTACATTTTCTCAAAATTACAATTCCCAAATATTTAATTTTGTTTGTCATCTGGATGTCCATTATAATTAAGGTTTTTTTTTGTATATTTGTCATATTTTTAGTAAGTATTTTAGTTTTTTCCTTATTAATTTTTAGCCCTGCTACTTCACCAAATTCCTCTAGTTTCTCTATTAGTTTTAGTCACAAATTTTGCGGATCTTCTAAAATGAAAACCAAATCATCAGCGAAGGCTTGTAGTTTGTATTCCTCTTTCTTTATTTTTAGTCCTTTTATTTCCAGTTATTTTCTAATTATTCTCGTTAGTGTCTCTAAAGTCAAAATAAATAATAATGCTGATGATGGACATCCCTGCCCAGGCCTTGAGTTTGATACCCCTGATATAGAGGAAATATTTTCACTTGTATTATATGAGTTTCTGTTATAGGTTATGCTTATATGTATAACCAGAAAGTTTAAAAACTTTGGAGATACATTAAAATTAGTTGCTCAAGTACAAAACAGAGGAAGAAAATTATAACTGTGAATTAATAAACCACTTTGAAAGCAGGTCAATGGCTTCCAAGATCACTGATAAAAAGGAAACAGCTAAGGCAGCATAAAGTAATTGCCCCTAACATGCAAAATATCAAGAAACATTTTCTTAAAATTAACTAACCTGTTGTTCATATTTTTGCTTCAGCTCCTCCAACTGCCAGGAGAACTCTTTTGACTGCTTCTCACGGAAAGATTTTGATTTGCTAAGATCTGCTTCTACCTTTTCCATCTACAAAATAAGCAAAAATACATAATTTCATAACAGACAAGGAAGATAGTATAATTGATTTCACAACATCAAAATCTTAAAAACTATTATCCACTATCAGTTAAAAATAAGATTCAAGGATGTTTTATCAGTAAAGTGACAAGCAGATAAACACATCATTAAAAACAATAAGCACAAATCTAGTATTTTAAATTTTGATCAGGTTTCTATGAGAATCTTATATCATTGAAGAACTATCTAATTTTATACCTGATAAAATCTAAAAGCCTAAAGTGCTAATTATTGAAACAAAAACAGTATGACTTAAAGTGCTGAAGATTTTATTGCATACCATTTGTGTTCTTTCAAAGGCATTTATCTTGGAAATCATGGTTTTTTTTGTCTCATATTTATTAAATAAATATGTTGAGATTTCATTACATATGCATCTACTTAGAATAAAAAACAATATATATGCAAAGAGAGCTACTAAAAGAAAATTTAGAAATTCTGACAAGGAGTTTGAAAGGAAGAAAAAAATGCCACCAAATCCTATTCCAAAGATTTCCTTCTCAGCTGTGGAGAAAGACTTGATTCTCATCTTTGGTTCTGACATCTTTTTCAGAGGTTTATTGAAGAGTTTAACTTTTTTGAAAACTATTTTTATACAGCCAAATTATTTTTCTCACTGTTGTGCTGATGGCAGTATGTCCTGTAAAAAGTTAAGCAGCACTGCCAATGATTCAGAAAATTTTGTAATTTTTAATGCAACCTTGTCATCCTCTTCTAATGGACTTAGCACCGTATCATAATCTTCCTGATTTTGATCTCAGGACACAGCTGAAAGGATGGTGGAAGTTATAGGTCCAGTTTTTATATTAAGCTTGATAAGATTCTTTTTAAATATTTGTTATATATGAGATTTATACCCTACTTTTTCTGGATAATTGATATCACGATCAAATTCCATTTTACTATTTAGGATTTGCCCCTCCAATATTCATCTATTATCATTTGCTTCCTATTTTCATTCACTTCACATTGTTCCCTCATATTTACCATATAATTAGCGATTCTTCAAGATATTTTTTATGTTATCAAATTATTTGGTTTCCATCTTTTAAACATTTGCAGACTGTGAGTGGCAACCAGAACTGTTTGATTTTTTTCTTGAGATTTTCCTTACGGTTTGAAACAAGATACTAGGAAGGTTATAGTTATTCACCCAATTTATAGGCCACCAAACCCAGAAGGATTCTCACTATTTAGAAGATAAGAAACAATCAGCAATGTATAAAAGACTGGTCTGCAAGCAATGAAAACACAAAATAAAATTAAACAACAACCAAAAGATAAATAAACCAAAATGGAATCAGGACTCAAATTCCCCCTGGAAAAACTTTGTTCTAAGCAGGCAGTTTCTAGAAGGCAATCAGGTTGGGAGCCAGCCAGATGTTAAAGGGGGAGGCTTTTCAAAGGACTTATTCAACCAATAAGCAGGGCTCCTAAGCCTTGGCTCCTTCATTTTTCTAAGATGAGACAGGGCTAGTAATTTCATGTAGGTCAAACTGGCCAGACTAATTCCAATGGGGAAATGTGGTCCTACAAGTAACGAGGCACTCTGTATCTCAAAACTTGTTAGCAACTTAGTACAAGGCTCATTGTAATGGTGTAATGTAATCCCACTGTAAATGCAGCAAGTCACAGAGCCATTGCACTTTGAACCAACTGCAGCTCCCAAGTGATTGCTTAAGACAGCCCCATGTACAGCAGATTGCAGTAGTCTAAAGTGATTGTGACAAAGGCAGAAGTCATCGTATGAAGATTTTCCCATCCCAAAGAGCCATAAATTGTGTACCATAAATTGTATACCATAAAACTGGAGAAAAGACCCCTTGACAACAGCTTCCCACTTCTTCTAGCAGAACTCATGACTCAGGGGAAAAAAAACACCAAGATATATACTCGCTCTACTGGGGTGTTACTATACAATCCAAAGAAACTACTGGAGAAGTCAGAAAACCTCAACAGAAAATAATAACAGCATCTTGCTACAATTCAGTTTATGTCTGTTCTCACAGCCTCCAGCACCGAGATAAGATCTCAATTACATCACCAGTCTGGATTAGTGGGGTAACACTGAATATCATCATGGTATTGATATTAAACTTCAGACTTTCAAATTACATCTCCTTGAGTCTTTATGCAAATGTTCAGTGGGGTGGGGCTGGGAAAAATCAAGCCCTGCACCACACACAAAGGAATAGCCATCAGGCTGTTCTCTCTTATCCCATCATCACTCATCGCAAGCACAATTTCTCTAGATTGAATACCACAACAGTCATGTTCCCAGAGTTTCTACATATGGGTATCTTAATTGTAAGAGACACAACTGGTTGTTTTCTTTCATCACAAACAAATCTACCACAGGTGTGCCAAGCTTAATAGCAATCACCAGAAAAGCTCAGAGAACTGTTCATTTTGATTCAATGTACCATTATCTTAATCTTTTCTGTCAGATGGAAAGAAGAAAGCCCACTTCAGAAATCTAAATGACTGTCTGGACTTCCCTTTGGCAAGGAATCCTGAAAACTGGTGCCAATATCCTGCAACTCTGAGGTGTAGAACAGGTATATGTTATACTATAAGGTGTAGTATAAGCCCTAAAATAATCACATTATACTTTTTAAAAAATGATGAATTTTTCACAAAAATCTCAGCATATCTTCAAGTATAGTAAGCCCACACTGTTGGTAATTTTCAATGCTGCCACCATCTGGAACATCATTCCCCTGGAAATTAGACTGACCCCCACTCTGACACTCTTTTGGAAGGCCCCAAGACATGGTTCCACCAGCTGGCTTGAGGAACCCAGAGCAGGATGGAGCCCATTAAATGGCTGGTATGAGTGTGTGTGTTGTCGCTGGGGTGGGGGGTTATTATTTTATAATTTTTATTTCTTTTACATTGTATTTTTATGTCCTTGTAAGCTGCCTTGAATTGCCATGTGCGAATAGGTGGCAATATAAATTTTCTAAATAAATAAATATGCTAACTGCTGGTTTTGGTTATCAGAAATTTGTTCGTGTAACTTCATTTGTTCATTTGTGATGTAAGTGAACAAATCATGGACAAAAACGTATTTCATCTCAAGCTTTAGAAATAGAATGCAATGTGTCACAAATGTTGGTATTGATCAAATTACAAATACAGGACTAATATCCTTTAGAAATGTGACAACTCTCATAATTCTACTTTATCAGCTAAACACAATTGATATTTATTTTCTGTGTAACTGCTTCTTCAGTGTGTTAAGAATCCGAAGAGGGATATGTGTACAGAAAGGTAAACCACAATCATGCCACTAACTCAATCTCAATCTCTAACACATTACTTTTTACATGCTGTATATAGGCAAGGCTGCCTATAACAATCACCACTAACTCCTAGAAAAAAAATGGGCAATTGGAACTTCAAATACAGGTGTGATTAAAAGTCCTGGTACCCTTCCACTTATCTCTCCCAGCCACCAAAAAAATATCTCAACCTGCTGTGAAATAAGTTGAACCTGACGCTAATAAATGATTTTGCTTTTGATGAATAATTAAATATATTCTTGCATCTTTTTTTCTTTTTGGGTGCCTTCAAGTCAATCTTGAATCCTGGTGACTGCCTAGGCAGTTTTGCAGTTTTCTTGGCAAGATTTCAGAAGTGATTTGCCACTGCCTTTTTCCTAAGGCTGAGAGAAATGACTGGCCAAAGTCCCCAGCTGGCTTTGTCCATAAGGCAAACCTAGAAATCATGATATAGTCTGATGGCTTCTAGTCTAATGCATTAACTACTGCACCAAATTGGCTCTCTTATAAATAATAAAACAAATGAAAATGATAACCAATTGGGAGTCTTTGGGGAAAAGTTGGAGGAGTATCAACACTTTTGAACACTCTTATAATTATTAAAATACTTCATTTGCTGTAAATATACGGCATTTTAAGAAACATTTATTCATTTTGCCTTGACTCTTCTATTTACCCTCAGGGAGTTATGCCAAAGGATGATCCCTTAAAAAAAATGCTGTTTTCTACCTATCCTGCAAGATTATAATGAAATACAAAGGATTTTATTTAAAAAAAAAAAAAGGAATAATGTGTTTGACATTATTCCACTACCGCACATATATCCTAGCAACACTGATTTTAGAAATTGAGGTAATATTTTTCAGAAAGATAGCTGGAGCGAAGGACTGAGCTGTGTTTTAGACAATAAATGAGGTAAAACAATGAGCAATAAAACCCAACCCCCAAACAGGATGTAAGTTAATAACGTATTTATTTGGAAAAATACTATTCAGTAATAAAACCATGGAGAGTTTTGGAATATTCTGTTTTAAAAGATTAATCAGCTGACGACATCTTTTCTTCTCATTCCTAGGCAAAGTTACTACATAGTTTGATGTTCCAGAATCAGTGAAATATGTTTCTAGCCATATAAAACAAGAAGGCACTCTCCCACTGTGATAGAGAGTTCCAGAAAGGCTGGCCCTGTGACCTTCTCACCTGCTCTTTCATTTCTGCATACACTTTTTCTGAGTTCAGCTCCACCTGTCGCTTAAACTCCTCCAAGGCAGCATCAGCCTGCTGGGCTTGTAGTCTCTGTGCCTCCATCACCTGAGTCAGATGCTCCTCCCTCTCCCTAGAAGGCAGAAAAGGTTTTCATTGTTAAAATATCAAATTAAAAAAGCACAGCCTTGCATAAAAAAAATGGCGTTCATTGAATTTGCTTAATATTCACTTTTTAATCTTTTGCCTTTGCCTATCTTGCCTTTCATTGCAAATATTTTGAAGGAGAACACAGTAAGTTATTTTTACTCTCCCACTGATCTGAAATCACCTAAACAAAGGATTGGGTTCTTTAAAAAAGTATCCATTAAAAAATCCCCAGTAAAACAAAAAAGTTGTAGAAGCACTGCAATTTTGAGCCTTGCGGAATTTCACCTTTCCTTAAATAACATACAATCATCCTAAGATATTTAATTAAGATATTTTAGTATATTGTGATTTTTAAAAAATACTTCAAAGAGCAATTCCCATCCACAATATCTCCAAAATTCTGTGACTAGTGTACAGCTATATACCTCATTTAGTTTGCCACCCCCCACTTTTAACATATGTAGCTATATTAATACTTTGTCTTCATTCAACCAGTATATAAAACTAAAGAACTATGAAAATAGTCTATGCAATCATTCATTCAATAAAAAATTAACAAGTGTGCCATTTCCTCCCATGGAAAAAATAAGTGCACCCCAAGTTCTAGTACATGGCATTGCCCCTTTTAGCAGAAACAATTTTAAGTAGGCATTCTTTGTATCTATCAGCAGAGGTGCTATTCGATCGGTTCGCACCTATTCCGGCGAACCGTAGCGGTTATTTGGCATGGGTCACCGAACCGGGGGGGGGGGCAATCCCTGGATGGCCACGCCCCCAACCCGGTCGCCCAGTCGCTCACTTGCGATCACTCTCCTAGCTTTCCGTTCCCCACATCCTCTTTCTCCCCAGGGAAAAGGAAGAAATGCATGGACGCTGCAAGTATCACTTTCCCTGTGTGAGTAAAGTGCCTGGAGTGAGAAAGAGTGCGGTCTGAAAGAGGGGGTGGGGGTGAATCGAGCCTTGGAGCATTTTTGCAACGTAAAAGAAGCCACTCAAGCCTTGGAGAAATTTAAAGGAGCTGCTTCCAAAATGCTTGTCTGTTAAGTGCTCTGTGTGTGTGTGTGTGTGTGTGTGTGTGTGTGTGTGTGTGTGTGTGTAAGAAAGAAAGAAAGAAAGAAAGAAAGAAAGAAAGAAAGAAAGAAAG